GTTGCTTCAATAACAAGAAAGAAAGTCTTTTTTGCATCGAATTGTGACTGGCAATGAAAATTGGATTTATTTTGAGATTCTCAAGTGCACAAAACCATGGGTTGATCCAGGTCAACCATCAACATCAACTGCAAGGCCAAATAGCTGAGGAAAGAAGACAATGCTCTGCTTTTGGTGGGATCAGGAAGGTATGGTGTATTATGAGATTCTAAAACCAAGTGAAACCGTTAATACTGATAGCTACCAACAACAAATAATCAATTTGAACCACACTTTGATCGTGAAATGACCAGAATGGGCCAGAAGACATGCCAAAGTAATTTGCTTCATGATAACGCACCATCACACACTTCAAAACCAGTTAAAGACATGTTAAAAGATAGTACCTGGGAAGGATTAACCCACCCACCATATTCACCAGACCTTGCTTCTTCAGATTACCACTTGTTCTGATCCATGGCACATGCACTTTCTGAACAGCACTTCAAAACATACGAAAAAGTGGAAAATTGGGTCTCTGAATGGTTTGCTTCAAAACAAGATGAGTTCTATTCGGATGGTATCCACAAATTACCTGAAAGATGGGGGAAATGTGTAGCTAGTGATGGACATTACTTTGAATAAAGCAATTTTGATTTTTCTCTTGAAATTATGGTGTTTTCTCTCATTATAAAATCCGCATTATTAACTGGTACAGATCCCTAAAAATCAGAAGCATTCGACACCACACCAGATGGGACCTGGGAAGCACCCAGTCTGCCAGGAGGCACGCAGGCATGAAGGTGAAGCCTTCTGGAATTCTTGCAGGTAGTAATGGGCAAGGCAGGATAGGTTCACTAGGTTTAAATTAGACGGTGTAAATAATTTGGGGTCAGAAGCTGGCCACAAAAGCAGTCTCTAGTTTTAGTCAGTTTGGCTCAGTGGATAGAGCGTCAGACTGCAGACTGAAGGGTCCCAGGTTCCATCAGGTCAAGGTCATATACTCAGGTTGAGGTTCAACCCCAAGTAGGGGCGTGCTGGAGGCAGCTGATCCATGATTCTCTCTCATCACTGATGTTTGTATCTCTCTCTCTCCCTCTCCCTTACTCTCAGAAATCAATAAAAATATATTTTTAAAAAAGGAATACCTAGTGGCTTGGCACCTTTGCGGGGGTAGTTTCAGGTAGGGGGACTATTGGCTTGGCCTGTAAGTGTTTGATAAAGGAGATATTTAAGAGTGTGGTCACTGAAGTTATATCAAAGGTACACTCGCAGGGGCATAAGGGGGGCCATTCTCTATCTCCAGGAATTAGCGCTGGTAGAAGCACCCTCTCCAGGATCAAGGTCCCAACTACCAGAGCAAAAAGAACACAGAAAACAAGAAAATACAGTGAGTACAATCCCCCTTGCTCCCCAAAGTGAACACTCCCCTGACTTCAAACCCTGGCAGTTAGTTCTGCCTGTTGTTGAACTTTCTATAACCAAACCACACAGCTTTCTGTGTCTGTTCTTTCATTCAACAGTGCAGCTGTGAGAGGCAGCCGTGTTGCTGTGCATTGCTGTAGTTTGCTCATTTTTATTACTGTATATTATTCTGTTGTATTTAGTAGTCTGTTCTGCTGATGATCATTTATGTGGTTTCCAAATGCGGGTCTAGTACAAAGCACGTTGCTATGAACATTCTTGTACATGTCTTCAGGAGCACGTGCTCACACACATTTCACTCTGGGGGCAGATTCCTGCATTTGAACTCAGGTAAGCATGTGCTCATTTGGTAGATATACCAAACACCGAACCTTCCTGAGTATGTAAGTATCTCTGAGCTTTGATTGTGGCCATTTATATTTTAAATTCACAAGGAGAACACTCCAATGTTATTTGACAGAACAGTTACTTTGCCTCCACACTAGAGAGTAAATGTATTGATTGATTGATGTATAATGATCAATTTTCTCTGAACCTTATATACAGTATACACATTGACTTAGGAAATGGCTTTGTTTTCTATTTACCCAGATTGCTAACTCCAGGTAAGCACAAATACAACATGGCAGGAGGAAAAATGAAATTCAGAAAACTTTTTTCTTCAATTAATGTGTCTCAAATTTTAATTTAACAACTTCTAAGAGCAGCCTCTCTTTCCTGACTTTCTCACATTGACCTCTTTGAAGAAGCCAGTGAGTGGTGCTCTGGTTCTGTGAGAAATGGTGGAGAGCTTACCAGATCTGATCATACCACTTGAATTTAGCTATAATTGGCTTTCAATAAGTGTTGGTTTTTTTTTTAATAAACTGTAAATCAGTCTAAAATCTTCATTATTAAACACTTCTTGCTTTAAAAAAATCTATGGAGAATATTTTTGTCACTCATTATTGGACCTTCCTTGACCCTTTCCATGATAAACAAGTTCTGAGAGTAAAAAACAAGCAAAAATCTACAATCCCTTTCACACTGAATTATCCATTGTAGCACGCGTGCACACACACACACACACACACACACAAAATGGGACTTTTTCTTTGTTGCTGTTTCATGTTGAGATTTGTAAGAAAACAGGGGAAAGTTTCATGAATGTAGAATTATTTCAGACCCTCAACCGCTCTAAATTTTGGTGAAGTTACATTCCCAGACATTTAAAGTGGGAAACAAACAAACAACCCACAGAAATAGTGGTGTAGCCATCACTGTGAGAAGAATATGGGGTAAATACATTTTGGTTTTAAAGATAGTGACATCAAGGTTGTTTGAACCTGGGGACCCTGAGAAAGAAGATACCTACCAAGAAGGACTCCTGCTAGCTAAATAGACTCAAATTTATAGGGCAGACCCTTGCAGCCATTTCTATGGGATGAGGGGAGGGGAGGGGGGCTCACCAGGAGGCCACTTCAAGGGGAAGACTGCACTGAGCTGCCTGCCTGCACTGTGTTCCTGCATCTGAGCCAGCCCTTAGAAAGGAGTCCCGAGAATATATTTCAATCCTTAAGACTGAGGCTTTCCCCATTCAATTGGATCTGTGCACTTCTATCCTTATCAGCATTTTCACTAACCAATCAGAGCAGCTCCATTCCACCAATCAGGACAGTGCTTTTTGGAGCAATGAAACTTTGAGGACTTGGAGTCTTCCTTTGCATGAGGATGGACCAATCAGAGACCAGGG